GACAGGTAAGTGGTGATCACTTGACCTCAAAGCAATAAATAATATGTAAGCGAAAATCTACTGTGTTTGTATATGAATAACCATAGTAGTGGTCTGTCATGTTCAACTGAACATCATCACCAAGCCACTTCCTCAGTTCTAATGAGCATCATGAAGACACCCCAACAGTTATATCCACATAGGCAGCACAATCACCTTAAAGTAGTATTTAACCCAAAAACTATTTTTGGCCTCATGCACACAGGACTTTTTTGACGCTGCTCTTAATGGCGTCTGGCAGTTTTTGTTTTTCTTCTGGCTATACACACCCCTGCATTTTAGCCTATGTGTCCATGCACACATTGGCGTTTAGAAGCAAGGGCGTTAAGAGGCAGGAAAAAAAACACTGCCAGCATATCCAGGAGCAGTGATGTTTTGGCAACAAGAAAAAAAACTGTTGACCCATATTAATGCGTCTAAATGCGTGTTAATGCTAGGTGCATTCACTGGCCAGAATAAATAATTAAAGGTGTTGTGCTGCTAAATTATACAACAAATAAACTCTATAAACTAATTAAATAGATGAGATTCTTATATCAATTCTTGTGCAAATTATAATCCCCCTTTCCTTTTAAAACATATATAAAAAAATTGTAAACCACAATCCCTTTTAAATATATGAGCCTTTATAAGTCTTTCAAACACACATATAAACAGTTCCAAAAAATCTCAGATCTTCTTGATATAGATTTAAGTGCACTCCTGTGGGTGAATTACTCCCGCAATCCCAGTGCTGCTTCCAATCCAGTGTACACCATCACAAGTGAGGACTATGTGGACTCTCACCTTGATGCCTTGACCTACAAATTATAAGTCAAAGTGCACGTTTGTTACTCTTTCTCCCTGGGTAGGTTCAGGTTCCATCCCTTTCCGAATCCAACCTGGGTTCCTACAGTTCAGTACCGCTATGGCACTGCTCCGATCTACATATGGAATCATAGAAAGGCCACCATAGTGTAGCAATTTAAAATCAAGATATTTATTAGAATTGCACTCACATGAGGTACAGCTCACAGCTCGTATTCAGCAGCCAGTCTCACTGCTGACTCCTGTCATCTGGCTCCTCCCTACGCGTATCGTCACTAGGTCACTAGGGAAAGAACCTGAACCTACCCAGGGAGAGAGAGAGTAACAAACGTGCACCTTGATCTATTGTAGTTTGTAGGTCAAGGCATCAATGTGAATGTCCACCTCAACCTATTCCTCACTATTGGTGGTGCACACTGGATTGTGGGAGTCATTTACCAACAGGAGTACACTTAAATCTATATCAAGAACATTTGAGATTTTTTGGAACTGTTTATATGTGTGGTTGAAAGACTTTATTGCTCATATACTTAAAAGGGATTGTGGTTTACAATTTGCACAAGAATTGTATATATGCTTTAAAAAGACAAGGGGATTATAATTTGCACAATAATTGATATAAGAATCTCATCTATTTAATTTGTTTATTTGTTTATAGAGTTTATTTGTTATATAATTTAGAAGCGCAACACCTTTATTTACTTTGGTTGATGTGAGGAACACACATTTGGTGTTTGCAGCAGCGTGACACAATTTTGGCTATATATAATTTTTGGCAGCGCACATTTCAGTTATATATTTTTTCATGATAAATTATTACTGAATTGATGCCCAACCGCTTGACCTGCCTAAACACATTAAATGCATTTACAAGCACCAATTGTTTTTTCTTCCAAAACAATGCTGCCAGGAGGAAAGGTGTCTAGGAGAGATCGTAAAAATGTTCAGTGTATGTAAAGCCTATATATTGCAGCTCACCAGTCTTTAAATGTGGTGTCTGTGTTTTCTTTTATTAAAGTTTTTTTCCTTTTTCACCTGGTGATCCGGCCAGTAACACACATCCTGACACTCAGACTTAAAGAAATGGTTTATATAAGCTATAAAGTGTCTTCAAAATTACAGAACATATCCAGTCTAATGCTTAACTGCTGCTAGCTACGCAATGACCTAAATGACTGAGACTGTTCAAAGGCACCGTGGTTGTATGTCGCCACTTTTGATTTGTATTACTGTACATGTTCTGTTTTTTTATCATATGTTGCTCAAACTTTAATTGTGGATAAATGTGAATGACAGGATTTGATAAGATATGTGTGTAAGATTTGCCAGGTGATAATGCAGTTAAATACCGTCTGAGATTCTTTTATTATTTGCTCTTAACAGTTAATTTTTCAGGAGAAGCTTTTGGAGGTCTACCCTGTTCGTCTTAGTCCAATCACTAAAGATACACAAAGGTTTAGCAAATAGGTAATAAAAAATATGCAAGACAACAATCTCTATTGCAGATTTATTTCTTAAAACCTTTGTGTAGAAGTACTAGATCACCGACATACCGCTGCACCTCACCCACACACTCTTCTATTGCTTTACGCAATCCAGATCCTCCTTCACAGGACTTCAATAATAGCAGAGTAATCACCAGCACAGAGTGTCTCCTCCGCCAATGTTTTATTGAAAACTCATCTTGTCCAAACAATAAAAATGACTTTCACGTTTCAGCCTAAGCAATCTTAATCATAGCTTAGTTACTGAACAGCATTAAAATACACTCCCTGCTTACATACGCCAATAAACGATTGGCTGAGGAGATGCTTTATGTCAGTGATTGCTTAGACTGAGAATAATGGGGTAGACCCCATATAGCTTCTACTGAAAAATTAACTGTATACACACACAGTGGGTAAAATACAGAGGATATAAAATGTCTACACACCCCTTTTAAAATGTCAGGTTTCTGTGATGTAAAAAAAATGAGACAAAGATAAATAATTTCAGAACATTTCCACCTTTAATGTAACCTATAAACTGTACAACTCAATTGAAAAACAAACTGAAATCTTTTTTTTGGGGGGGGGGAAGAAACATAAAACCGTGGTTGCATAAGTGTGCACACCCTCTTATAACTGGGGATGTAGCTGTGTTCAGAATTAAGCAATCACATTCAAAATCATGTTAAATAGGAGTCAGTACACTCCTGCCATCATTTAAAGTGCCTCTGATTAACCCCAAATAAAGTTCAACTGTTCTAGTAGGTCTTTCCTGACATTTTCTTAGTCGCATCCTACAGCAAAAGCCATAGTCCGCAGAGAGCTTCCAAAGCATCAGAGGTATCTCAATTTTAAAAGGTATCAGTCAGGAGAAGGGTACAAAAGAATTTCCAAGGCATTAGATATACCATGGAACACAGTGAAGACAGTCACAATGACATTACCAAGAACTGGACATCCCTCCAAAATTGATGAAAAGATGAGAAGAAAACTGTTCTGGGAGGCTGCCAAGAGGCCTACAGCAACATTGTGACTGGCTGTGTGGCACATCTGACAACAATCTCCTGTATTCTTCATATGTCTGGGCTATGGGGTAGAGTGGCAAGACAGAAGCCTTTTCTTATGAAGAAAAACATCCAAGTCTGGCTAAATTTTGCAGAAACACATCTGAAGTCTCCCAAAAGCATGTGGGAAAATGTGTTATGGTCTGATGAAACCAAGGTTGAACTTTTTGGCCATAATTCCAAAAGATATGTTTGGCGCAAAAACAACACTGCACATCACCAAAAGAACACCATACCCACAGTGAAGCATGGTGGTGGCAGCATCATGCTTTGGGGCTGTTTTTCTTCAGCTGGAACTGGGGCCTTAGTCAAGGTAGAGAGAAATATGAACAGTTCCAATATTGGCACAAAACCCTCAGGCTTCTGCTAGAAAGCTGAACATGAATCTTTCAGCATGACAACGACCCAAAGCATACATCCAAATCAACAAAGGAATGGCTTCACCAGAAGAAGATTAGAGTTTTGGAATGGCCTAGCCAGAGCCCAGACCCGAATCTGATCGAAAATCTGTGGGGTGTTCTGAAGAGGGCTGCGCACAGGAGATGCCCTCGGAATCTGACAGATTTGGAGTGTTTTTTTCAAGGAAGAGTGGGCAAATGTGCCATGCTGATAGACTCATACCCAAAAAGACTGAGTGCTGTAATAAAATCAAAAGGTGCTTCAACAAAGTATTAGTTTAAGGGTGTGCACACTTATGCAACCATATTATTTTAGTTTATTTTACTTCCCTCCACCTAAAAGATTTCAGTTTGTTGTTCAACTGAGTTGTACAGTTTATAGGTCACATTATAGATAGAAAAAGTTCTGAACTAATTTATCTTTTGTCTCATTTTTTTACATCACAGAAACCTGACATTTTAACAGGGGTGTATAGACTTTTTATATCCACTGTAAGTATTGAACACATCACCATTTTTCTCAGTAAATGGGTTGTTACTGACCATGTGGTGAATATATATATATATATATATATATATATATATATATATATATACACACAGTGTTCAGCATAAATGAGTACGCCCCAACAGATTTACCAGAAAATCTTTACTTTCAATTCAGAATCAACATTTTCCATGGGACACTAGACTACAAAATACTCCCACAAATGACATCGATTGCCAGCAAGTTTTGTTAATTTGCACACACAAAAAAGTATATTTTTCCTAATACATTCATTCAAGACCTTGTTGCAAGAATGAATACACCCCAATGAAGGTCTTAGAAGCAAAGCTAAATTTTAGAAAAAAAGCATAATTAACAAGAATTCCGCTACAGGTGAGTATAATTATTATTCATTAAACAGGTGCCCAGCAGCCAGTTGACTATAAAAGGGCGTTACTTAACAAAGAAAACCCCTTCCCATTTCATGCTGTCAGCAATGGCACCACATGGAAGAGAAATGTCACAAGGCCTGGAGAAAGAGAAAATTATTTCTTTACACAAGAAAGATAAAGGCTACAAGAAGATTAGCAAAGATTTACATATCAGTCAGAATACTGTAGCAAAAGTTATATAAAATTGTAATAAAGATGAAACTGAAACCATCTCACAGAGACGTCCAGGCCATCCACGGAAGTTAACATCTCACAGGAGCGTCTTGTGATGAGAAGGGTTGAAGAAATTCGCCATGCAAGTTCACTGCAGTTAGCTAAAGAAGTAGATAGCCAAACTGGGGTGACTGTTTCCTGTGACACAATACGGCGTACTTTGCAGAGGAATGGCATGCATGGGTGTTGTCCAGGAAGGAAACCTCTCCTAAAACCCATGCACAAAAAAGCCATCCTAGAATTTGCCAGGGCCCATGCTGAAAAAAGAAGACGACTACTGGGACTCTGTACTCTGAAGTGATAAAACCAAGATAAATGTTTTTGGAACTGATGGCTGCTTCAAAACTGTATGGCATCGCAAAGGTGAGGAGTACAAAGAAAAATGCATGGTCCCTACAGTTAAACGTGGCTGTGGCAATGTCCTTCAGGTGGGGCTGCATGAGTGCTGATGTCGGGGAGCTGAATTTCATTGATGGTATCATGAATTCACAGATTTACTGCTCTATATTTGTAATGCCTGTGAAATGTGTAGGCCTTGAACCCTTTGTTTCTTGGGTAATTTTACAATAAAGCATTGTTGCTCAAATGCCAGGAACTTGAAAAATGACTGATGTCATTTCTCTAAGCTAAAGGAACAGAGTCACAAGACATTAGATTGCTTATAGCAAGATGAAAACTTGTTTGTGAGATTGAACGTGTTTATGACATTTAGTAATGTCACATTAGATGATAAGAACCTGTTTAAAGATGTCTACTTGCTTGAGAAGTTAGAAATCTTTAAGTTTAGGGTAGATAAGAAGCTGATCTGAAGCAAAAGTGTGACTTTTTAGATAACGATGATTCAATATGGTGGCTGGGCGTGACTCTGTTATCTTCACGGAATCTTTCTGCTAGCTCCTCCCAGAGTGGGTGTGGCACCCGCCCACTTCGGGAAAGCTGCCAGGAAAATGGTTTAAAAGCCGGGAGTTTAAAAGGGATCGATTGGGAGCCTCCTAGTGACGGGACGCTCTGATGCTGGGGCTCTTGCTATGGCTATATGGGCTCATTGATTGGTCGCATTTACGGCTTCCCCATGACCCCCTGTGCAGTATGGTTCCGATGGGATCTGTTCCTTCCTGCCTTCACATAGCTTTGGTAATGTATTAATTCTATGCTGTGACTCTGTCAAATAATGTGTCTATTTCATGCTGTAATGCTCACACTCTTACTGGTGTGTGTTATTCTGCAGATTGTGATGACTATAAGATATATCCTCCTGTGTGTCGTGTGATAAAAAAAAAGTGGAGGTTTTGACAGTACAAGAATATTGCAGTTGGATTCTGTTATTTCTTGGAGTGTCGGGTGAATGCTATGATGTGCCAGGGCAGGTGTTCATTGGGTAGAGTAGTCTTTCACATGCGTAGAATATGTAATGGTGTAAATGCTGGTTCAAAGTACCTGTGTGTGACTACCTGTCAATTGTGTGTGTGTATGGTACTTGCTTTTAGTTATTGCACCCAGTGTTGCCATTACAATATTGAAAGAGAAGATGCTACCATTACTTTGTGTCCCTTGGTCGTCGTGCACTTTTCCAACATGACAATGATCCAAAACACACACAAGGCCACTGTTGCATTTCTGAAGAAGAATAGAGTGAAAGTAATTCAGTGGCCAAGTATGTCTCCTGATCTGAACCAAATTGAACACCTATGGGGAATTCTGAAGAGACAAATTGAGCACCACTCTCCATCCAGCATCTAAAAGAGGTTGTCCTTGAAGAGTGGAAAAAGATATTATTATTCAGAATTTATATAGCGCCAACAGTTTGTGCAGCGCTTTACAAAATGAAGGTAGATATTACAGTTACAATACAATTAAGTACAACAGGAAACAGGGGGCCCTGCTCATTAGAGCTTACAATCTATATGTCGCCAACTTGAACATTCCATGCCTAGAAGACTTGGTGCTGTCCTTACAAATCATGGAGGTCATACAAAATACTAGATGGAGTAGTTTGTGTTGTGGGGTGTATTCATTTTTTCATCAACTAGTTTGAGTAAAACTGATGATTTGTAATCTAAGTTATTAACCTTACCTTCATGTAGTGAATGTTCTATAAACTCAGTTTTATCAAAATTTTGGAAATTGTTCTTGTGCTCACTGAGATATTGATTAAAATCCTACTTTTTAAAAGGGGTGTACTCATGTATGCTGAGCACTGTCTGTGTGTGAATAATATATATATATATATATGTGTGTATGTATATATATGTATGTATGTATGTATGTCCGTGTGTGTTCTAAGTGTACTAATACAGCTACAATTATCCTAACTAGTTCCTAATTCACATGTTTCGGCTTAAACACTAAGGGCTCTGTTTGTAAATGTTCAAGCATTTTTATAATAGAATTCATCCCGAAAAGTGTGTGGGTCCTGGGTAAAAGTTGTGTGAATACATTTATTAACATATTTAATAATCTTGGGTCATTATAATGTTAATGTTTGGGGGTGTTTCCTTCAATACAATCCTATACTGGATAATCATTATAGAATTTTCCATACCATTAGGGTACATTTGGATGTGCAACTAATCTCCCTTTCCTCTGAAGCCCAAATTGTGTTCAGATTGTGCTTTGGAGCAGCCTTTTTCAACCAGGGTGCCTTGGCAAAATGCCAAAATTTTGCCCAAAAAAAAAGTGGATTGAGCCTGCCTTTTTTTTGTTACACAAAGCAATGGGTTTTAATTGTGCAGTGTTACAACCAGGGGCACTGTGTGGGCCAGCTGCTGGCTTCCTAAAAACCTGTGATGTTATAGGTTTATAAGGAGGACCTCAGACATCTGAGGATGTCCTTGTTTGCCTGTCAGAATTGAGGTCACATTGGCTGATTGAGGGGGAGAAACTAAGGGGGAAAGGAGAAACACTGGATTACTAGTCAATACTAGCTTGTAAAGGTGTATTTGCTTTGTAAGAATAAGTCGCTAATTTCGGGTGTCCTGCGTATGTTGATGACACTGCATTGTGTAAAATTATTCGTTTATTATTTTAGAATGGGGTGCCTTGAGATTGTACATGATTTCAAAGGGTGCCTTGAATGGAAAAAGGTTGAGATACACTGCTTTAGAGGATACAGACAGGCAGTGAGGAAGCAATGTGATCCCTCCTCACCACCTGTTGTAACCCCATTTTTGCTGACAAACACGTTTGCGGTGCTTCTCTATTTGCTTGACTGTGTACCGTTCGGTTGGTTTTGCCGCCCGCCAATCTTTACATGGTGGGGGAGCTTTGCCATGGGCGCAAAGAGAAGCTTTGCAGCTGCAGCATGCAAACACCCCTATCCGCAGCTAAAGGGGGGGCAGTTGACAGGTGGAAAAAATGCGTGTCTGAACCGCAAGTCTAAACGAAGCCTTAAACAGTGTAGGGCATGTGTGTGTATCTTGGAAGGAAATGTTTTAGATATGTTCAAGTTAAATGTTTCCTCATGACCCTATCCAATGCTGTTGATTTCCCTTTTTTGACAAGATTCAGTCCATCTGGCAGCGTGGGTGCCATGCCAGAGAGGCACAGAGCAAAGAGTGAGTCTCCTCGGCGGTTGGAGGAACCAAAGCAGCACAGCTCCCAGGTTAGTGATAGGCTAAAAATCACATGCTAAAATGATGTAATTTTGTTTTGTTTCACATTTCCATCTCACCCACACAGCATTCACGCTGGTTCCCTCTCAGGATCTGTCATGCATAAAGGGTTATAAAAACCCATATACTGAGTGTTTGCATGCTAGTCTCAGTTTTTTCATCTTTCTGAAGTCTTCAGAAGCTGAAATAGATTGTGGTAGAGACATGAAGCAAAGCCGTGATTCTTTATCTGAAATTATGGCAAGAGATGAAATTTACATAAACATTTGCACTACAAAAGCCGCCCATACACGGAGTGATTATTTTTCCTGCAGCCAAGGGTTGCAGGACAGAAAATCGCTCGATTCCCCTATCAAAAGTCATTGTTAATGGGGGAATCCTTCCCGCGGAGCCATTGTGTTATCCCGTCGGGAGACTAAAGCAGTGATCACTTATAGCGGCTATAATAGCCACTAGCAGTAATCACATGTAAAATTTGACAGGCTGATTGTACTTAAGTTGATTGTCCCCGCTGAACTGGCGTGAGATTCAAATCGTTTTTGGCCAGCTTACGTTTTTCAAAAAGCTTGCCAACTTAGGCTTACTTATACTCCTGGGGTAGTTGTCCTCTATAGAGCAAGCAGCTGCCTTTACAGAACTGACACCACTGTTTAATTCAGTATTGTATTAATTAGTGGTGCACCGAAATGAAAGTTCTGGTCAAATCAAAATTCAAAATGCACTTGGCCGAAAACCGAAATGCGTAGTTTTTAAAAATGAATATATATTTTTTGTTTGTGGCGATACCTCACATGTGTGGTTTGAACACACATTTACATATGTGGACATGGCCTACGTATGTGTTCACCACTACGTGTGAGCACGGATGGACAGGGGCACTTTAAACTTCTTCTTTTTTTTTTTAAAAATGTAATCACTTTTATTCTTATCACAAGAAATGTATGCATCCCTTGTGATAGAAATAATTAGTTACAGGTCCTCTTTATGGAGAGATATGGGGTCAATAAGATAAGACCCCATATCTCTCCTCTGCAATGTAAAGCATTGGATCAGGAAAAAAAAGCATTGATCTAGTGCTTTAAGGAAAAAAAAAAATGGCCGGAACCGGAAGTGACATCGCTCCGGGCTTCCAAGGGCATAGAGATGAGTGGAGGCCATCTTTCCTTCACTCATCTCTATGCCTAGCGCTGGGATCGTTCGATGGTTTCTCAGGTAAGGCTGAGAATTACCGAGCAGCAGGCGGCAGCGGCAATGGGTGGGGTTTTTTTTCAGCACCTGTATCGGTTCTTTTTTTTTTTCATGTTGGCTGACTGCCGAAAGGTGTGTTTTCTGCCAAAACGTTTCAGCCACCGATATTTCAGTGCATCCCTAGTGTTAATCTAGAATAATTAAATTAAAGTTTTACTAAACTAGTTTAGATGTCTTGAGATTTCATTTTAGCTTCATGTAGTCCCCTGCGAATCTGAACTCAAACTGGCAGTCCTAGAAGGCAGTGCTGCAAATCAGACCGATTCTACTGTAAACCATTGGATGCTAACGCAAGCCATAGACGGTTCGTTTATCGGCCGATTCTTCATCCGAAAAACGAAACATCGGTCGTTCTGTTGCCACCAATGATTGCGAAAATCGGCCGTTTTTTTCGCAAATTTTCCATCATGACCGATAAAAGAAATGAGGAGGAACCACGAAAATCAGCCGATGCCATTGCCCCACTAACAGTGCGAAAATCGGCCGATTAATGAACCGTCTATGGCCTGCATAAGTCTGATAGACTTTTCATTTTGATGCACCTGGAATGTATTTAGCTGATGTTCTGTTGGGCTTTAATAATATTGAGCCGGTATGTGAAGTACACCGTAGCAATTGACAAATGATCAGCATTGCTAGCGTTGTATGTGCAACACTGATCTTTGCAATTTGTTATCTATTAAGCTCAAATGTACTCAAAGGGACATGTTTTCAGGTTCTTGCAAGTAGTGTTTTGAACTTATCTTTTCTTTTCTTTTTTTTTTTTAATTAAGGGGGAAGAAACAGGTGTTATTGGGGTGAGTGGTTACGTAGAATATCTTCGTGAACAGGAGGTGTCAGAGCGATGGTTCCGTTATAACCCACGACTAACCTGCATCTATTGCGCCAAATCTTTCAATCAAAAGGGCAGCCTAGATCGGCACATGCGACTCCACATGGGAATCACTCCATTCGTGTGTCGGATGTGTGGGAAGAAGTATACCCGCAAGGATCAGCTGGAGTACCATATTCGCAAACATACAGGCAACAAGCCCTTTCACTGCCATGTGTGTGGGAAAAGTTTCCCTTTCCAGGCCATCCTCAATCAGCACTTTCGGAAGAACCACCCTGGCTGTATTCCTCTCGAGGGTCCTCACAGTATTTCTCCTGAGACCACCACTGTTGTCACTTCGCGAGGTCCAGCTGGTGAGGAATCACCCCCTCACGATGAAGCTGGTGGAGTAGGGCCCTCAGCAACATCTGACATGACGTATGGCGGGGAAACTGCCCATGGTTCAGTGTCCACCACCGGGCCAGACTAAAACACCAGAAAATATATATTACAGGAGGACGCAAAGAGACTAATATCCTCCCCTTTTACCTCAACAGATTTTAACCATGTTTTCCTTCCCTTCTACTTTTCTCCAAGTCAAGGTTGGGCACTCAGAATGCCGAATCAGAGCAAATGGAATGATGGGAAGTTTGAGATTTTTATTGCCAAAATCCAGAAAAATAACCATGTGTTAGCTTCCTATGTTCATCTTTTCTCTTGACTTCAAAAAGCAACAGCAACTGTATGAAGAAAAAGAGCTACTGTTTTTTTTTTTTGTTTTTTAACGTGAATATATCCTTTTAATCTTTTTCAAGTACACTTAGAATCTGATGGACCTCTGAGCATATACAGTAATACAGAAAGCTGTGTATTCAGTTACAGTGCAATGGGGTTCTCCAGGAGCTGCCATAGGTGTTGCAGAATCTTTGAAACTTTCTTTTGAAATGTTTTTGGCAGACAGTGTATTTTTGGTCTTGGCCTGCATAGAAGTTTGATGGTGCTGTCATAGGTGTGTTAATAGGGTGCTCAAAG